CTCCTTTATAAACTGTTATCGCGCACAGATAACCGGTCTGGTTGACAAATTGAGAAAGGAAGTTTCCTTTATCTAGGCAGGAGAAACGATTAATTGATTTGATACATTACAATGCTTGTCTACGAGCAATAGATGTTACCAAGCGAATTGTCAAACAACATACTTGGACTGATCAGTAGTTCCAGCTATTTGAATATACTGAATATTTATTTTGTAGAATTCATTGAATCAAAAATAGGATTGTTCACTAATGATAGACGGCAAAATTTAGATGAAAAGAGATCCACGCTCTTAGAATTTCTTCAGGAAGTACTTACAGGAATAAATGATTTTAGCATTTTAATATTGGTTCAGTTTTCTCCCAGACATGTTAAATTATTTGAACAAAGAATCATCTCTATCTGTAAAAGGCAGGATGTGTGTTTGTGTGTGTGTGTGTGTGTGTGTGTGTGTGTGTGTGTGTGTGTGTGTGTGTGTGTGTGCGTGCGTGCAAGGCGGATTTCGACGGATTTGCACCAAAATTTACATGCACATGCTCCAAGTTAGCGGGAAGGCCAAGACCGACTTCGCATTTCCCAACTCCCATCGATAGTGGAAATAATCGATTTTTTCATGCTTCTACGGCACTTTTCATGTAGTTTGCGGCCATTTACTACTGGCCAGAGTGAGAGCCTATAGCTGGCTGCCACGAATAGTCAGGAAGATTCTATTGACCAGCGTGAGAGCCAACAGCTAACTGACACGAATGTTAACTAGCATGCTAGCATGCAAAAAAAAAAAAATCGATAGCCGCATTCGTCACAAGTGGGAAAAATTTAAATCTGCATGCACTTTTACCCAATTGGCTCATTCTTGCTTAAACTCAACGTTGATTCTGATTCTGCAGAATTGGGTTGGGTGTGAAAAAGTATTTGTTGTTAACATTGTTTTTTCATTCGGTTTTTCCAGTTACGAGTCCTTTTTTAAAGCTGATCGTTTTGTGTTCATTTTGTTTAGTTCTTTTTTCGTCACAGATTTAATGTTTAGTATAGAGCTTAGAAAAAATTTGCAGTGTGAGATAGGCAAGAAGTAAGTCATGTAGCAACATCAGCACGGCAAAGGAGGGGCAAAAATATTTTAAATCAAGCGATAGCGATTGCTGTATGAATCGTACAATTTTTGAATCAAGCACGGGCAACGCCGGGCCATGCTGCTAGATAAAAAATAAACTGGATGAGAATCGATATTCGATTGATAAATCATCCCATTCCTTTTCCTTTTCAGGGGGTTGCAGAAGATTTGGAGCGAGAGCAGATAGGAGTGATAGAAGAAAGGAGGAGGAGAAGGATAGTGGATAGATCAAGGTAACTGGGGATGTCGATTGACATTACATTTGAATAGTTGGAGATTATGCTCTCAGGGAAACAGTAATTGGGAATGGTGTTCCACAAGCGAGAGGTGTGAGGTATGAAGCTATTGGAGTAGAAGAGACGGCTACATTTAACAGTTTCTACAGTGTAAGAGTGAGAGCGGGATGCCAGCCTCGTAGGGCGCTTGGATTCATGGAGTCTGGGAACCAGTGAAAGCAGCTCATCGCAGCAATTACCATGAAAGTATTTGTAGAAAAGACAGAGAGAGGCGACGGCCCGTCTGTGAGAGAGCAACTGTAGACGAGATGCCAGATCAGGGCCAATTATATTGCATATCCGTCTCTGGATCTTGTCAAGAACTCCAAGGTAAACAGAAGGTGCACCAGACCATATATGGCAGCAATACTCCATGCAAGGGCGAATAGTTGATTTGTATATTTGAAGTATCGATTCCGGGGAGAAAAATTTCCTGGTGCGGCACAGAGAGCCAACATTTATGGTAATTCGTTTTTTTTTTTGTTTTTCTTTTGTTTTTTTTGTTTGTTTTTTTTTGTTTTGTTTTTTTTTGTGATTACCTTACTCGGTTTTCATCTTTCGATCTTGTGCGTCTGCAAATTTAACTTTTATCGCGTTTACCATAACGTCTCGGCCTTTAAGTCGGGATCAAAGTGTTTACAAAGTGATCAAAGTGTTTACAAAGTGTTTACAAAGTGTTTACAAAGTGATCAAAGTCTTTACAAAGTGATCAAAGTCTTTACAAAGTGATCAAAGTCTTTACAAAGTTTACCATAACGTCTCGGCCTTTAAGTCGGGATCAAAGTGTAATAAAGGCCGATAAACTAGATTTAATCTCTTACTTGCGTATCTATCTTCGTAGAAAGCGCAACTCGATTGTGACTCTGTCTGCGGACAGATTGCAACTGAAAATATTATTGAGAGTTGCCTGGTCTCAGAAAACAGTTTCCTGTTGCAAACTTCACTCATTTCACTAAAGAGGGGGGATCGCTAGTAATACTGATGCCAGAGCAAAAAAAAATGGTTGGAAGAGCTTGGCTATTTTTGGAGCTGTTCCGAGTGCGTTTGTATCATATTCTATCAGCCTGTGGTGGCAAGAAAACAGAATCGGTTCTCGGCGTTTTGGCTAAGATTAATGTGTAGTATCTGTTATCAACTCAATATGATTCATTCTCTCTCTCTCTCTCTCTCTCTCTCTCTCTCTCTCTGCACACCAATCCTCTCTTCTTTCTTATGTTCTCTCACACTGAAATTAAGTAATGTCTTTTCTCCTGTTTCCACCTGATCAAAACGGAATAGTCTATTATTTATGAGGTACTGCCATGGCGGTCTACTCGTTTCCCTGTCCATCTGCCTGCAAGGATTGCTCGCCAAATCGCTGCTATAGACGCCTACTCACGTACATTTGTGTTTCTTCAACGCCCGCTGAACCCACCTATGCTATGATGTACTTAGCTACATGTTCTAAGAGAGGGCGAACAATCTGCTGTGATCGACAGTTTGAAACAGGACCTGTTTCAAGCGGTTGATCCTGTCAGATTCTTCGCAGTGAACAGTACACGCATACCTTCGATCGCGATGATTTGGTGACGTTATGCTGGCACATCCATTGACGTCTTCCGAACTTTTCCATCTCACAGCGCTTTGATCATCCAGGCGAATTGATTTCAGTTACGCTGCGGTGATCATTCTGAATATTTTTAAATTTTAGGGTAAACATTGAAATATGGACAAGATCCATGGCATTTGTTATCCTGTTTATAGAATATCAATCAGTGAGGTTTTTTTTTCGTAATTTCCTTAGTTTGTAGTGATTTTCCAAGCTTAGCTTACTTGTGGCACAAGGCCGAAAGTATGAGGCACCCAGTGAGGATCGAACTACTCAGTCGTAATTGTTCTAGCGAGACAAGCTTGCTAACCATTACATCGCCTCGAGGTGCCTATTTCGTTAGTTTGTAATCAAAATTGATTAAGTCAACATTTGAATAACTAAAAATATGCGGACATAGACCGACGTAAACAAAAATATAAACAACAAGTAAAAGATAAATTATTTGTATTTTATCAGTATGGCTTAATAATAATCCAGATAGGTCTAATTAAGTAAAACTTGCAGCTAACTTAAAAAAATGACACCCAGTTAGTAAATGAGTCAAGAATTGGCTTGTAAATTTTAATGTCTCCAAAATAAAACTGTTATCTTTTAGTCAAAATAAGCAACTAGTTTTGCTTGCAGTAGCATTACAGATTCCACTGACATGAAATACAATGATTATATTTTGTCAATTGCTCGGTCTGCTGTTAGGAAAATTAGTTCACTGGGTTCTGCGAAACAATGTCTTTGACAGAATTCATTTTGTACGTTTATAAATCTACCATTCGTCCATACCTTGAATATTTCTGCCTTATTTGGTTCTGTGCTACTGTACTATAACTGGCGATGGTCGAAAAAATCAAATGGGTCTATAATGTTATCGGACCTGACCTAGCATCTCGACTCCAGTCACATTCTCAAATCTCTGACGTAGCTTCACTCTGTCCTATCTGCAAATATTTTCAAGTCAATTCTAATAAGCTATCCTTTGTATCTCGGCCCCATGTATTAAAATGTCTTACTAGATTGGCAAGCAGATTTCATGGTTTTACTGGTGAAATAGCTAGATGCAATGGCAGGCTAAATTCTATTATTTATTTATTCTTGCACCTCTCGCTTGTGGAATTCCCTTCCGGTTTATTGTTTCCCTGTAATGTACGAATTTGAATAATTTAAATTCAAGGTCATCTTTTGTCTTCCTGATTCCGACACTTTTATTGCAGTTTCTTCTCACTGAAGCTTCTCTTTCACTCCGAGTAACTTCCTTGCGTCTATGTGCTATTATCGTCTCGGTTGGAGTGAAATGATTATATAGACAGATATGAATAACAAAATACTTTGAAGGATTATAAAGGTAAACGTAATAATAAATTACTTTTTATTGCTTTCCACGTGTAGAACTAAAATTCTAGCTAGCAACCGTCTCATCTTTAAAACTCCCCTCTACATATAACTATTTCTCCTACTTATTACTTTATCTCTCTCTCTGTCCTTCCCCTCCTCTCTCTCTCTCTCTCTCTCTCTCTCTCTCTCATTCTATCTATCTACATGAGATTCTTGGCACCTTAAATATCTAGCTCATTATATTCATATCTAGGAATATATTTTCAATATCTATCTATCTCGTATCTGTATAAATGTTCACCTTATTTCGTTTATATACATGTGAAATCTCAGAGACACTGACCTTTTTGCTACAATTTCTTCAGAGATGGCTTTGTCAGGCAACAAGTCATTGTTTCGACTCAAATTCTACCAATAATTATACGTGTTCTGCGAGGGGGAGAAAGAGAGGGAAAAGAGTGGTAAGGAAAAAGAAACGAGACCGATAGAGATGGAGAGATGGGTTCGTATTTTGCACTCTTCTAATACGGACGTTATTTTGTAAAATATCATTTTGACAAATATTAAATTCATAATTTTACACATACATATATATATATATATATATATATATATATATATATATATATATATATATATAATAAAAGGCTTAAAACTAATATTCCATGGTCATAATTTATTCCACTGATTGCATATGT